AATGGGGTATCCTTCCAGACACTGAAATTGACTCTTCCTGGGGCCAGGTCCTCGAGTCATTAGGCTGTTGCCCACAAGGGCTGTATGAAAAGGCGACTCCAAGGCTGGAGGGATGACTCTGTGGGTAAAGGCGCTTGCCACCAAGCCTGACAACTTGAGTTTGATTCCTGGGACACACCTGTTTGAAGGATAGAATCAACAACTCCTGCCAGTTGTCCTCTGACCTACACAAATGCGCCACACACACACACACACACACACACACACACACACACACTAAATAAATAAATGTGCTTTTTTAAAAAAAATGAGGCTCGGGCCATGGTGATGTGTGTCTATAATCCCAGCACTTGGAGAGCTGAGGGAGGAGGGCTACAGAGTGCAACTTAGTCTCAGAAAAGTCACTCTTGGTGCAGTGGCCTGTGATTCTGTGCTTGGTAGGTGGAATTAGAAGTCCAGGCCAGTCTGGGCTGTTAAGATCCTGTCTCAGGGACTAGAGCGATGGCTCACTAGTTAAAGAGTATTGGCTGCCCTTCCAGAGGACCTGGGTTCAGTTCCCAGCACCCACATGGCGGCTCACAGCTGTCTGTAACTCCAGTTCCAGGGACTCTAGCATCCTCACACAGACACACAGGCAAACCATAAATGCAAATAAAATAAAAGTTTAAACACACACACAAACACACACAAGAGGGACATCACATGTGCCAGAAAAGGGGGGAAGTGTGTCTCTTAGAGAAGGAAGAGTTCAGGTACAAAGCTAAAAATGGCAGCTCACAACCAACCGGGTCAGGCATGGTGGTGCACACCCTTAATCCCAGCAGTCTCTGTGAGTGCAAGGCCAGCCTGGGCTACATAATGAGACCCTGCCTCAAGAAGAGGAGGAGGAGGCACATGACAGGTGAGTGGACGCAATCCTCAGTAATGAGACACCTTCTTAAGTCATAAGCGCATCTAAGGGTCAGCTGACAGCTCTGGCTAGAACGCACCAGTGAGAAACTGGGGGCCTGCCTTAGCTGCAAAAACGTTTGACCAGGATGTGGCAAGGCCAGTGTCCCACAATCTAGCATCCAGAGAAGGAAAGCAAACCAGGTGTTGTGGTACACCTGCAATCCTAACACTGCAGGTGTAGAAGCAGAGGGATTAGAGCATCGAGATTCACGGGCGAATGAGAGCCCAGGGAGTAAATGTCCTCAAAGTGTTGAGACTGCTCAGTGAGTAAATGTGCTTGCAGAGTGTTGAGTCCAAGCCTCACCCAGCCACCTAAAGGTAGGATGAGAACTGACTCTGAGAAGTTGTCCTCTGGCACCTTCAGTGTAGCACATAGCAGCCACCCCTTTAACATCCCCCATACACGTGTGTGTGCGCGTAGGTGCACACACACACAGGCGCCAATGCACACGGAATGGCAAAAATTAAGTTCAGTATCATCTTTGCCCATATATGTATTTGGGACCTGGGATACATGAGCCCTTCTCTCAATACAAAAGAAAGGTGACATGACTCAAAGTGGGAGCCACCAAGCCTGACAACATAGATTCTATCCTCAGAACCCACGCTGCAAGGGGGAAATGGCTCCCAAAGCAGACCTCCACATGTGCTCATGGCCCGTTCTTTCATCGCTGAGCCATCTCTCCAGCCCCTTTAGGTAGGATGTCTTTTGAGTCCAAGGCTCCCTGTTAGGCTACTATATCTAGCCAGCTGACTCCAGGGGTCCTCCGTGTGCCGGAGTTACGTGCAGGCTGCCATTTGCATTTAGCGTTTGCATGGGTTCTGGGAATCCCAACACCAGTCCTGCGTTTATGCAGCAAGATCTCTAACCACTGGACAACCCCTCCAGGCAACTTTTGCAGTATTTGCATCGTGATGATGTCAAGACCTCCCTCTTTCCTTTCCTTCCCTTTGAGGACCTGGAGGTAGAGCCCTAGCCTTTACAAACACCAGGCAAGCATTGCACCGCCAAGTGGCAGCTAGTGCAGTCTGTGCGCATGTGCGGTGTGTAGCATGCGCGTGTGGAGACAGACTCTGTATCACGTGTGTTCTTCTATCACCCTCTACCTTTTTTTTATGATATGGTAATTTGGGCGGGGGCGTGCCCTAGTGTGCCTGCAGAGATCAGTTCCCTCCTTCTACCATGTGGGGACCAGGAACAGAGCTCAGGCTCCCCAGGAACTTCTCCCCACTAAGAGCCAGCCATCTCGCCAGCAAGTTGCTTAGCGTTTTGAGACAGGTCTCTTGCTGAATGAACCTCAGGCTCACTAACTGGCTGGCCGTCAAGCTTCGGCAATCCTCCTGTGTCCACTCCCCAGCACTGGAGCAAGTGTGGAACCATTGCTCTTGGCCCTTTGCATGGGTCCTGGGAATCTGAACCCAGCTCTGTGTGTTTTCATGGCATTTGCCCACTGAACCGCCTTTCTATTTTCTATCACAATGACTTCTTGACACACTACAAGTAGTCCTTCACTCTTGTGCGTTTTTTTTGTCACTGCGAGCCACGCCCCCAGCCCCTCACTGGTGGATTCTAGACACACCCCTCTGCCACTGAGCCTCATGCAGTGTCTTTGTCTTGTTTGGTCTTGCTATGTAGCCCAGGCTAGACTGGACCTGCAGATCTTCCTGCCTCATCCTTTAGAACACTGGCATTAAAGGCTTAAGCCACCACACTTGGAACCACGAAAAATTTTTTGGTTTGTTTTTAAAGATTTATTATGTACATGATGTTCTGCCTGCAAATATGCCTGTATGTCAGAAGGGGGCACCAGATCTCATTACAGATGGTTGTGAGCCATCTTGTGGATGCTGGGAATCAAACTCAGAACTTCTGGAGGAGCAGACAGTGCTCTTAACCTCTGAGCCATCTCTCCAGCCATTTATTTATTTATTTATTTATTGTGTTTTGAGATAGGGTTTCTCTGTGTAGCTCTGGCTGTTCTGGAACTTACTATGTAGACTAGGCTGGCTTTGAACCCATAGAGATTGAAGGCTTGTATCACTCCTACCTGGTGATTTTTTTTAAGATCAATTTTTTAAATGTATGGTATCTTATATAAGATCTAATTAAATATGTGTATGCATGTGTGTCTGTGTGCTAGAGTGCAGTTTTCTGAGGTGACCAGAAGAGGGCACTAGATCCACTGGTGCTTGAGTTACAGTGGGTTGTGACCCTTTTTTTCCACGTATGTGCCAGGAACTGAACCTGGTCTTCTGGAAGACCAGCAAATATTCTTAAGCCAGTCCCAGTGCTGGGATTACAGGCACGAACCACTATGCCCAATTCTTTATGAGTGGTAGAAGCCAATGCTCCAAAAACTATTAATAAACGGGCCCATACCTTTAATGTAAGCACTGGGGGGGGGGGGGCTGAGGTAGGCTGATCTTTGTAAGTTCAAGGCCAGCCTGGTCTACATAGTGAGTTCCAGGCCGGCAGGGCTACTTAGTGAGACTCTCGCAACGCAAAACAACAACAACAAACCTAACAATGTCATTTAGCACTCAGAATAACTCTCCTGGGATATAGATGAAGAAAGGGAGACTTGGTGAAACTGTGTACGTTTCCTGGCACTATTCAGTTTTAAAGCGGTAATGCCGAGACTCACATTTCACACTACGTTTTTCTTTTCCTGACTGACTCGCATAGATAGCCCAGACTCACAGTTAGATAGCTTCTAACTTGCAGTGGTTCTCCTGCCCAAGCCTTCCTCACAGATCTCCTGAGTTTTGTTTCAGTTTGTTTGGGGGTTTGGAGTTTTGGTTGTTCAAGACAGGGTTGCTCCGTGTAGCCTTGGCTGTCCTGGAACTCACTCTGTAGACCAGGCTGGCTTCGAACTCAAGAGATCCACCTGCCTCTGCCTCCCGAGTGCTGAGATTAAAGGCGTGCACCGCCACTGCCTGTCTTTCCAGCTTTTAAAGAGCAAGGTCCGTCTGAAAAATGGGTTTTTGACGAAAGTTGTAGACACACTGGGTGTAGTGACACAGGCTGGCCGCGTGAGGGGGCGATGGCGCCGCTTGTCCAGCGAAGGGAGGCGGGAGGCAGCCTTGGAAAGGAAAGCAGAGCGGCGCAGCCTCAGGACCACAGAACGTTGAGAACAGAGCATCTCAGAAGACTGAGAACAAAGCCTTTCAGAACCGGGAACAAAAGCCCCTGCCATCTCAGACTGTGGAACTCACAGCCCCACAGCACCTGGGAGACAAAGGGCCTCGGATCCTTTCCTGGTTAAATCACAGACTATTTCATCCCGGGTCTTGTAATTCCAGAAGAGTGTTGTTTTAATGAGCTAGAAAACCCGCTGTGTAATGCGGGCTAGTTTCTCGCAGTGTAATCAGGCTAGCTTGAAATTCACCATGTAGCTCAGGCTGGCCTCGAACTCTCGGTCCTCCTTCTGCCTTAGCCTCCCCCGTGATGGAGCCACGGAGCCGGTTTGAGCCGGTCTGGCTTAAAAGCATAATCGTATCGTAAGATTACTTCTTCTGAGTGTCTGGGAAAGCTTCTTGGGAGAAGAGGCGTTAAGCCGGATTCCATCTCCGCTGATGTTTCTCCTCCTCCTGCGCAGACTCAGAAGCTGAGCGTGCGGGAGGGGCGGCAGGAGCAGCTGCGGGGCTGTCACGTGGATGCAGTCTCTATTTATAGACACCCTTCCCCTCCGCGGGGACAGTCCAATAGTAGCGAGAGCTCTCCCGCAGGAGGGCGGGGCCAACTCCTGAATCCGAGCGGCTGGCACCAATGGACTCGGAGCAAGGGCGGGCTTGTTTCATTGTGACGTGCGAAGGGCGTGGGCACAGAGCCCTTGTCAGCTCGCGAAGGGGCGTGGCAAGTCCGAGCCCGTAGATAGTCGCGAGCATGCGTTGTGGGGGCGGGGCGGGGCGGGGCGGGGCGGCCGCGTCACGGGAGGCACCAGCCAATGGACGGGCGTTGTTGTGACTCTTTGGGCGTGGTCCATGCAGATGAGGCGCGGGTGGGCGGCCCAATGGGCGGGCGCCTATGCAGATGAGACGGTGACAGCCCGGCCAGCGGGCGGGCGGGCTGCAGGGGCGGGGAGGTGGGACCGGCGAGAGGGGCGGCCGTGGGGCCCGGCCGGGCTGGGGCGGGGGGCCGCAGCCATGATCCGGGCCTTCTCGTTCCCGGTAAGCCCGGAGCGGGGCCGGCTGCGGGGATGGTTGGAAGGCAGCCTGGCCGGGCTCTGCGAGTTGCATTGGCTCCGAGAGAGGCAGGAGTACCGCGTGCAGCAGGCGCTGCGGCTGGCCCAGCCCGGGATGGGGGGCGCCGAGGCCGAGGACGAGGAGGACGCCGAGGAGGACGAGGATGCGGCAGCGGCGCGCAGGGCCGCAGCGGCCCTGGAGGAGCAGCTGGTGAGGGGTCGCCTGTCCGTCCGTGCGTCCGTCCGTGCATCCCTCCCTCCCCCATCCGTTCCCACACCTCCCTGTCCGTGTGTCGGTCTGTCCGCCTCGGTAGTGTTACGCTCGGGACACCGGTGTCCTAGGGTGGGGGAGCAGGCGAGGGGAAAAGAACGAGAGATAGGACTGGAGACCTGGCCTCCCCCACCCCCAGATGGAGCTGATGGGGAGGATGCACGGCCTCCACTGGACCCTCCGCATGGAGCCTGTTAACCATCCTGGACGCCTAGTGTGTGTCAACCCGAACGCTTGGCTTCTTAAGAGTCTTCCCATCTCATGAGGGGTTGAGAGTCCCCATTTCTCAGAGAAAGAAACTGAGGCTTAGAGACAGGAAGAGACTCACCCAAGGTCACACAGCCGGCATTCAAACATAACCTCCCTCTGGGCCCGGCTACCCGGGCTCCATCTTTCCTTAAGTCCCCGGGGTGCGTGGAGATCCCTGGAGGGGGCGGGGTGGGGGAAGGGGAATCTTCGGGCCTCTGGGGGGGGGGCCCACTGCTCACAGTCCCTGAGAGCCCCGGGGGCGCTGACCAATTCGATGACACCTCTCTTCTATGTGGTCCATGCCTCAGTAACATCAGAAGAGTGAAAGTGGCCGGCCGGGCGGGGGGCGGGGGGCTGTGCCTGACTCCCGGCGGCTTTGCCTCCCTCCCGGCACCACTGCTGGAGCCTGCAGACCCTTTCCGGTGTCCCTCCCACCTTCCCACGCCACAGCATCTCCGTTTCCTTTCCTTAACTCTGCCCCTGTCTCTATGGTCTTCCCAGACCTGCTTAGCTTCCAAAATCAGCAGACATCAGACCGGGGTGGATGGGGCCGTGGTCTGGCCCTGGGCTCTTCAGTACTTTCCCTCCCCACTGACTCCATCTCTCTTCCCCCCCCCCAGCCCACTCCCCTGGCCCATCCCCGTCTTAGTCCTAAGCCTCTGTGTGTGTGTGTGTACATGTGTGTGGTCAGAGTTTCCCGTTTAGGGAAACCTGAGCCGAGGCTGTGGGGGTGGGGAGGGGGTTCTGGCTGTTGCTGACCTCGGCTGCCCCCTCCCCAGATGGGAAGTGGGGGAAGGGGGCCGAGGCCAGACGCCCAGCCCCACCCCCACCGGCCAGACCGTGCAGGAGTGGGACCTGACATTCTTCTCGAAGCAGAAACAGCTGTGGGAGGCCCCGCCCCCTCCCAAAGTTACAGACGTGGGGGGGCTTCAGCCCCTCCCGCCCCAAGCTGCCTGGGCTTTGCCAGACCCCACCATCCCACTAGGAGAGGGAGGGAGAAGGAGGCACCCCGGGCACAGCAGTAGTGGCCTGGCCTCTCTCCCTCCTCACTCTGCCCCTCACCTTCTGGGTCGGTTTGCCTTTCTGCCCGGCTTCTTACTGCTCACTCCTCCCTGCTGGCGTGAGGTGGTGATGGAAGAGAGGATTGTCCCCTCACACGCCACCCCTCTACCCTTTTCCCACTGTGAGCAGTCAAGGCTCGACCCAGCCTCAAAGAGGAGGCGGTGGCGGAGCGGGACAGGAGCCTGGCTGATGGAGGGAGTAGAAAAGCGCTAAATATAAACACCTCTGGTGCTGAGGGTCCCTGGGTCCTTCTGAAGAGGGAACAGGGCCACCTCTGATCCCAGAACCCCTGTCTTGTGAGACAACCTACATCTCCATCCACCTCTCAGAAACACAGTCCCTTTGAAGCAAGAAAAACTGAAGTTAGACTGGGTGACTCTGCTACACATGATCTGCTCATGTCAAATGAGAGTAGAGGCATTTCAGCAAAAAGAGGCATGGCTAGTGTGTGTAGACGGGTCCTGTTTGCTCCTAGGAAGGAAAAGGATCCCTTCCAGCAAGGAGGACTTAAGTTAGACTTGCAGAAGAACTTCTTAACATAGACGAAAGGGCATTGGAAGGTAAGGAGAGGAGAAAAGGATATGGGGAAGTTTGGGTGAAGGAGTCTCCCAAGACATCAGGCCACTTAAAGATGAAGGAACTCGGGCTGTCTGTTTCCCCAACTCTTGACACTTCCTTCCCTCTACTGGGAAAAAACAGTAAAGGTAGTTGTGGAATTTACCCCCTCCCCAAGAAATCAATCATTTTACATGTATGTTTAGTTATGCAAGTGGTATTTGGAATTATTCCCGGTGAGATATTCGCTCTTTTAATCCATGTTAGCCCTTCCATCGAGGTTAAGGAAGGCCCAAGTTTCAGATGAGATAAGTGAAGCCCAGAGAGGCCAAGACACGTACTTAGGGTCTTACTGCTGGGCCGGGGGAAGAGATGCGTTTGACTCTTGGCCATTGGGTACCGCCTCACACCTTACATATTTCATTGGCTGGTACAGTGCCGCCCCCCCACCCCCGTTTGATTCCCTATGTTAAGGCCACTATCATTCAACCTTGGCTTTGAGTTCATTCTGACAGTTTCTATACCAGGAAAGAAATGGAGAGCACTGGGCAGAGCTTTACTTTTTCATTTACCAGCACAGGGGCTGGGGCTAAGGGTTAGGAGCAAGCTAGGCAGGGGCTCTACCACTGAGCCACGCCCCAGCCCCTCACTAGGGGATTCTAGGCAAGGGCTCCACCACTGAGCCACACCCCAGCCCCTCACTGGGGGATTCTAGGCAGGGGCTCCACCACTGAGCCACACCCCAGCCCCTCACTGGGTGATTCTAGGCAGGGGCTCTACCACTGAGCCACGCCCCCAGCCCTTTTGTTTGTTTGCTTTAGTTTAGTTTTGGTTTGGTTCAGATTTTGAGAAAAGGTCTCACTATGTGGCCCTGGTTGACCCAGAACTCAGAGATCCACCTGCTTCTGCTACCACATCTACTCCTAAGCCCTCTTCCTGAGACTGGATTTCTCTGTGATTCTCAGACAGGCTTCAAACCCCACCCCTGGCCTGCCTCAAAGGTTTTGCTGTTTTATAAAATTCCAGTTTCTTGGGTGAGGTACCAAGGAAAGGCTGGTGGGCCTTCAAAATGTGGCCAATCGGAGTAGACGTAAGGTGTGGAAGTTGTTAGACATGCAAATTTGGGGGTTCCAATCCAGGTATATTCAGAAGCTCTCAAGCTGGGACTCGGTACCTGGTTTTTGCAGACCCTCCAGATCTGCTCTGGCTCAATACCCTTACCAACTCCCACCAGCAGAGACATGCCTATAGGATGGTGGCCCCGGAAAGGCTGTGTCGCCACTGGGTGTGGTGGTACACGCCTCTCATCTGAGCATTTGAGAGCACTTGGCAGGTGATAGCAGGAAGACTGGGAGTTCAAAGTCACCCTTGGCTACAAAGGGAGTCCAAGGTCAGCCTGGGCTACCTGACATGGTCTCCAAGCCCACAAAGGACGCTGCCTGGTGGCACCGTGTGCCACGATGAAGTCACGAGACGGTGCATTTCTCAGAATGTGTCCCTGTGATTTCTGACCTCCTCCTCCCCCTGCACGATCCTGTCCTGTTCAGCACCGTGCCTTAGAAAACTCTGCCTCCACCCATCTTAACAGCCGTGTAGCATTCCATCACAAACATAGGTGTTCATTCCTTCATCAGGAATGTCCTACGCGCTAAGCCCAAGGGGGAAGAAAAGCTGCTGTCAACAAAACAGTCAGAGATCTCTCTCCTAGTGAGAAAGACAATAGATAAACAACTGACAGGCTGGAATTTGTTTTAAAGTCAGGAGGAGCCAGAGTGACAGAGTGCAGGATCACATCAGAAAATACCGGCCATTAGGATGAGGCCGAAGCACAGAGCTTATGTTCCCAGTGGTAACCAGGGCCAGGCAGCCGACTGGTCTGGTCCGCTCGGGACATACACAGGCCATTGATGATGGCAGCAGCCTTTGGCTCCCCCCCCCATACCCCTCCCACACACTTACAAATACTGTGTTATGTGTTTCTTTTTTAGTTTTTGCTTAAAGTTGACTGATTGAGCCATGGGCATCTGCACATATCCAGAGTAGGAGCCTCTAACTAGAGGCGTTTGTTGACACAGAGCCACTTGGGGGCTTCTGTTCAGGGAGGAGAAGAGGGCAGGCCTGGAGGAGTCAAGGGCGGAGGAGGGGCTGTGGGGGGCTGTGGCTGCTGCCCAGAGCCAGGCCAGTCTTTCTGCCCTAAATAGGCAGGGCTGGGTGCTGGTCCCGCCCTTCCATCGGCGGCCAGACAAGCCGCTTTTGTCTGAGGGTCAACCGTCTGCCCCTGGCAGCAGCTACCTCTGGTCTCACTCAGTCTCCTGTGAGACATTCCCTGGCCCTGCCGAGTTGCCTTCCAAAATAAGATAAAATCCTGGATTTTTAATTTTTAAACTGTAGAGACAGGGTCTTGTTGCCCAGGCTGCCCTCAGACTCACTAAGCAGCCAAAGTTGGCTGTAAACTCCTTATCCTCCAACTTCTAATCAATACAGGAACTAAGGTCTGTGCCACCACCCCGATTTAATGCAAGACTAGGGACTAGTTTCCTGCTAGGCAATCACTCTTCCAACTCAGCTTCATCCCCCACCCCAGTCCTGGGGCTTTTGGTTTCTGATCACTGCTATAGTCACCAGTAAGCAGTAAGGCTAGACTTGTGGAAGGACTTCCAGGAGGCGCAAAGGGAGGGGGAGGAGCAATGAAGTTATGAATTGTGCTGTATACTTTTTGTTTCGTGTAGCCTTAGCTGTCCTAGGACTAGCTCTGCAGATCAGGCTGGCCCTAGTGCAGGGATTAAGGGCATATGCCACCACTGCCTAGCCACGTTGTATGTCTTTTCTGCTAAGTAGCCAGTCTGCAGCAAGAAGCACTAAGAGGAGACTCCCATAAGAACTTCCCTTTGGTGATAAAAGACCATTCGAGGGAGAGGCAAGGACCTAAGAAAGGAGGGTCAACCCTGAGGAGGAGGCACCCCATGGCCACCCTAGGATCTGCAACCCCCTTTTAGCATTGAACTTTCTCACAACAAGAAGACCTATCCTAAAAATTTACAGCCCAAGTTGCCACCAGCAACGCCCTACTCAGAAGATGCAGGTGGGAAAGTCATGAGTTCAAGTTCATGCTTTTCTGCATGGCAAGCTTGAGGTCAGCCTGACATGTGAGAATGAGGAGGGGTAAGGCCAGCCTGGGCTATGTGAGAGTGAGGGGCAGCTGGGAAGATATCTGTTAGGTTCCTGACACTTGGGCATGAAGACCTGAGTTTGACTCCCCCCAGGTACCCGCATAAGAAGCCAGGTGAAAGGCTTGGGGAAGCTAAGATTTGTGGCAATGGGAAGGAAGAGTCAGGAAGATTGTGGACTCATGAGAGCCAGCTTGGCCTAAGCAGGTGATCAACCTTGCCTCGAAAAATAAGCTGGAGAAGTCAGGTTATCCCAGCGCTCGAAAGGCAGAGGCAGGAGGATCTCTGTGAGTTTGAGCCTGGTCTAGAGGGAGTGCCGTGACAGCCAGGGCCACACAGAGAAACCTTGTCTTGAAAAACCAGATAGGAAGATAGGTAGGTAGGTATGTAGGAAGGTAGATAGTTGATAGATGGATAGAAGGAAAGATAGATAGATAGGTAGATAGATAGATAGATAGATAGATGTGGAGGGGCTAGAGAGATGGTTCTGTGGAGAAGAGCCCTTGCTGAACAATCCTGATGACTAGAGTTCGAATCCCACTGCCACATTGTGAGCATAGTGTCTCATACATGCCTCTAATCGTAGCTCTGAAGAGAGCAGAGATAGGAAAGTCACTGGGGATTGAACCTCGGGTTCAGGGGAGATACCGCTGCAAAGGAACAGGCAAAGGGTGGTAGAGTACTGTTGATGCCCCTCCTCTGCCCTCCACTCTCAAGTACGGGCACAGACACTCAAGCACCTACATACGTAGATACGTAAATAAGGTGGGAATGGACAGTGGTGGCATACATATATACATATATTTTTTTTATTCGTTTTTCGAGACAGGGTCTCTGTATAACTTTGGAGGCTGTCTTGGAACTCGCTTTGTAGACCAGGCTATCCTCAGACTCACAGAGATCCACCTGCCTCTGCCTCCCCAGTGCTGGGATTAAAGGTGTGTGGCATCACCAGCTGGCTGGTGACGTACAAATTTAATACCCCAGCACTCTGAGTTTGAGGTCTGCCTGATCTACATAGTGAGTTCCAGGACAGCCTGTGCTACACACATAAAGAGACCCTATCTCAAAACACCAAAGTAATAATAACATTAATAAAGACACCCACACAGGGACGCCTTTAATCCCAGCACTGGGGTGGAGGGGAGGCAGAGGCAGGGAGATCTCTGTGAGTTCAAGGCCAGGCAAGTCTACACAGTGAATTCCAGGACAGCTAGGACTGCATAGGAAGATTCTGTCTCAAAACACAGAAAGGTAAAAACGAGGATGTGAATGGAAGAGGAACGCATGGGTGTTTGACCCATTTGTCTGAGTGGGGTAATCAGATCCACTAGAACTGGAGTTGGAGGCAGCATGAGCTGCCGGAAATTAAACCCAGGTCCCCCGAATGAGCAGTCAGTGCTCTTGACCACTGAGCCATCTCTCCAGCCCCAGAAGAGGAATCTTCTAATAGGGGTTAGGGAGCTGTGGTCCCAGATGGGGACATAGCTAGCAAAGAATGGAGAAGAGGTGGGTCTTGAGTTTCAACACACATCGATGGATGGAGCTACAGCATGAAGGCTGAAAAGTTAGACAGAAGGACTTCCTCACAGGGACGAGGGACAGAGAGCTGACATTTCCAAGTGGACCTCTGCCAGGAACTCGTGAGCAGCAGGCTGGTGGGCTCTGGAGCCTTCTGACCACTCTGTTCTTGTGCTGCAGGAGGCCCTACCTGGGCTCATCTGGGACCTGGGCCAGCAGCTGGGAGACCTGAGTCTGGAGTCTGGGGGTCTGGACCAGGAGAGTGGGCGCAGCTCGGGTGAGTGTGGGGGCAGGGTGGAGTCTCTCCGGGACACCCCAGTCTTTTTCCCCAAGTGTCCCCAAGCATCCCTGTGTCCCCCAGACCCACCTCTCCCCTTCCCCACCCCAGCTCCCTAACTAATTCATCCTCTCCCTGGAATCCAGGCTTCTATGAAGACCCCAGCTCTACCGGAGGCCCGGATTCACCACCCTCCACCTTTTGTGGGGACAGTGGCTTCTCCGGATCTGGCTCCTATGGACGCCTGGGTCCCTCGGACCCCCGGGGTATCTATGCCAGCGAGAGACCCAAGTCCCTAGGTAAGGTGGCTGGGCTGGGGCCCTGTGACAATCGGAAAATGGCTTTGAGCATAAAATTGATTCCACTTTAGATTCCCAGTTCTGGCTGGGACCAGTCTTGGTGTAGTTTTAGCATCTCTCTCCCTTCAGGCTTCTGTTTAGCTAATATGGGCCTAAGACTGTCTACACCAGCCATGCATTTTGGAACATGCCTTTAATCCTAGCACTTGGGAGGCAGAGGCAGATGATGGATCTCTGACTCTGAGGCCAGCCTGGTCTACATATTGAGTTTCAGGCCAGTGAGTGTCCCTTAAATTTATTCCTTCCTTCCTTCCTTTCTCTTTTCTCTTCTCCTCTCTCTCTCTCTCTCTCTCTCTCTCTCTCTCTCTCTCTCTCTGTCTCTGAGACAGGGTTTCTCTGTGTAGCTCTGGCTGTGCTGGGAACTCACTCTGTAGACCAGGCTGGCCTCAAACTCACAGAGATCCACCTGCCTCTGCCTCCCCAGTGCTGGGATTAATGGCGTTCGCTAACCACCAAGCCTGGCCTCAAGAGGCAGTCGGTTTTAGAAAATGTGGATGGAAAAGAGGACCCTAAGAGAGACATACTAGGATCTGCCTAGGGGGAAAAAGGCAAGATCTCCTGAGCAAATTGGGAGTGTGGGGGTATAGAGGAGGGTGGAAGGGGGGAGGGGAATCGGAAAAATATATAGCTCAATAAAAACAAGTTCAAAAACAAAAGAAAGCAAAGAAAGAGAATACGGACAGCAAAAGCCTTACTGAGACCCTGACATTTGAGAGAATGAGAGCAACAGGCCAAGCTGATATCCTAGAGAACAGGCCAGGGAGCAGAAGTCACAAGCGCAGAGGCCCCCGAGGCCACATGGTGGCGGTTCCCAGCATCTAGGAGGTCAGTGTGTCTGCAGGTGTAAGAATATGAATGTGGCTGGTGGTGTTGGTGTTGATGCACGCCTGCCTTTAATCCCAGCACTCGGGAGGTGGAGGCAGGAGGATCGCTGTGAGTTCCAGGACAGCCAGGGCTGCACCCCATTTCGAAACCCCATTTCGAAAAAGGAAACATGCATGCAGATGGTTAGCAGTGGCTGGAGGGGGTTCAGAGTAAGATGAGTGGTGGAGTCTTGAGGGAATTTTGTCATGAACCATGTAGGAGGGGATGCGCGAGGCAGAGGAGGAGAGAGATAGCTTGCCTTATCCAGGCTGGGTGAGAAAAGCGTTGATTTTATTCGGATTTGATGGCACAGGGTCTTCTTGCTGTGTAGCCCTGGCTGGCCTCAAACTTAAACAATTCTCCTGCCTCGGTCTCCCCGGCGTTGGAATTACAGATGTGGGCCACCGTACCCAATTTAATTATTATTGTTGTTTGAGGCAGTCTCTCAGGTAGCCCAGGCTGAGAGCAACTTTAAACTCTTGATCCTTCTACTTGCATCTGTCCAGGACTGAGGAATACAAACTTGCAACCTCTGAACACCTTGGGGTTGATTTTCTTTGGGGCGGGGGTGGTGGTGGTGGCGGCGGCGGCGGGGGTGGTTGAGGTAGGGTCTCATGCAGCTCAGGCTGGCCTCCAAGTGTCAAGTAGCTGAGAGCGACCTCCTCCTCCGTTGGATGGATCCCAGAGGTGTACCACCAAGCCCATTATTTATTTATCTATTTATTTTACACTGTTACTTTTCCACACAGCTCAGGCTGGCTGGGAACTGCAGGCGATCCTCCCGCCTGGGCCGCTTCAGTTCTAGTCTAAGGCAGGCCTTAGAGTGCCCCCCCCCCTCTCCCTTCCTCTGCCTCTTTCCCCGCAGGTGACGCCAGTCCCAGTGCGCCAGAGTCGGTGGGCACCCGGGCTGCGGTGCCTCGCTCCTTCTCGGCTCCCTACCCGACGGCAGCGGGCCCCGAGGCCTGTTCGTCGGCGGAGCGGCGTGCGCGCACGGGGCCCTTCCTGACGCCCAGCCCGCTGCACGCGGTGGCACTGCGCAGCCCACGGCCGAGCGGACGGGCGCCCTGCGGCTCCCCGGACGCCGGGGCGGCCGGCCGGCCCCTGGACGGCTACATCTCGGCGCTCCTGCGCAGGCGCCGCCGCCGAGGGGCGGGCCAACCGCGTACGAGTCCCGGGGGCGCGGACGGGGGCGCGCGGCGCCAAAACGGCGCGCGCCCGCGGCCGCCCGAAGCGTCCCCGCCCCCCGGGGGCGCGCGACCCGCGCGGGAGCCGTCGACGGAGCGCGCCTGGGCCACGGCGTGGGAGGCGGAGGCTGCACCCGAACCTGCGCCTCCGGCCGCCGCATCGCCGCCCTCCAGCCCGGCTGAGGGTCGCCTCGTGAAGGCGCAGTACATCCCGGGCGCGCCTGCAGCCTCCAGGGGCCTTCCTGGCCGCGCCGCGCGCCGCCGGGCTCCGCCGCTCACGCGAGGCCGCAGCGTGGAGCAGTCCCCGCCCAGGGAGCGGCCACGCGCTGCGGGCCGTCGGGGCCGCCTGGCCGAGCCGTCGGGGCGTCGGGGCTCCCCGAGGGCGCGGAAAGCGGCGCGCTCGCAGTCCGAGACCAGCCTGCTGGGCCGCGCGCACGCCGCCCCGCCGCCCAAGTACCCCACGGCCGAGCGCGACGAGCCCCGGCCGCAGCGGCCCCGGCGCGGTCCCGCCGCGCCCGCGCCCGCCGTCCAGGCCTGCCGTCGCTGGCGCTCCACCGCGGAGATCGATGCGCCCGACAGCCGCCGCGCCCGGGCCCCGCGCGTGCCCGCGCCGCGCGGCCCCGCGCCCTCGCCGTCCGCGCCCTCGCGCCGGCTCCTGTACGGCTGCGCCGGCAGCGACTCCGAGTGCTCGGCCGCCGGGCGGCCGGTGCCGCTGGGCCGTCGGGTGCCGTCGGGGTGCGGCCCCGGGGGTTATGGCGAGAGCGAGTCGAGCGCCAGCGAGGGCGAGTCGCCCGCCTTCAGCTCCGCCTCCAGCGACTCGGATGGCAGCGGAGGCCTCGTGTGGCCTCAGCAGCTGGTGGCGGCGGCCGGGGCCTCGCCGTCGGGGCCCGGGGGTGCGGCAGGCGTTGCGACCCCCGCGGGCCCCGCCAAGGTCTTCGTGAAGATCAAGGCATCGCATGCGCTGAAGAAAAAGATCCTGCGTTTCAGGTCCGGCTCTCTGAAGGTCATGACAACTGTGTGAGTTGGGGGGGGCACGGGCTTGGGAATCCACCCCCACGGCCTCTGCGCCCCCACACTGCTCATCCTCGCCCCCCTCCACGCCCACCTTCCAAAGACCACCGGTTTTCTCTGCTTCCAAAGACCCTCCTCACTCGCTGCCCCGCCCCGCCCCACCGTCCATAGCCGATGCCCCTCTCCCCCCCCCCCACTGAGAGGCGCCCAGATTGTCCCAGTACCAGAAAGTGCCCCTCCGCGGGCCTCGCTCTCCCCATCTGTACAATGGATGTCCATGTTTGCAAAAGCAGTGATTCCGTTCAGGTCCCCCATCCTGCTCCCTTTGGGTATAGAAGCTTAGTCTGCTCCCTCTCCATTTCTCTCATAATAGCTTTCTCACTCCTCCTTTCCTGGCCCAGATAGGGCTCCCTTCTCATTCACAAAGTGCCCCCTCCATGTCCCTGGACCCTTAGGATATCCCCTGGGGCCTCTGGGTCAGAGACTCTGTCTGACTCAGGTTATGCTCGCAGACTGCCCTGGGAAAAGTGGCACCGTCTTAGGGGCTTTGAGGGTCAAGTAGGAGTTGCCAACACCTGGAAAGGACTCTTTCTGCTCCATCCCTGGACAATTATGGAGGACTGGGAGGTTAGAGAGAGGAAGGAAGATGGTTTCAATCTGGTGCCTCTCCCCGCGGGGAGTGCGGGAAGCTGAATGACCCTCAGCTGTTCCAATCCAGTGGGTTTTTTTTTTTTTTTTATTTGTTTGTTTTTTTTTTTTTTTTGATTTAAAAAGAAATTACTGTATTTATTATGACAATGGTGACTCCCTGGTGCGTGGGGGCCAGATTCTGTGTGTTTCTCTAACCTCTTTGTAAATAAATGCACAATGTTACATATTCCCTGGATTCTGGTTCTCTGTTAAAATGAGAAGCGTTCTCTCTGCTGTGGAACCGGCGATTCGCAAAGCCAGGTGGCAGGTCCCAGGGGGAATTTGAGCATCACTTCATGACCGCTTGTGCCTTTAGTGACTGACTTTGAGTTATGTGTGGACACCCTTACGTTTTTGTAAAAGTAACAGGTCATCATCAAGAGCAGGGCTTGGGCTATGGCCCAGTGGATAAAGTGCTTGCTGTGTAGGCGCGAGGGACCTGAGTTCGAATCCTCAGAAACCTTGGAAAGCCCCACCCTATAGAGTGGATATGTGACCCCCAGTGGTCTTACTGAGCAGTGAGAAGCTGAGACAGGAGACTCCCTGGGAACCCAAAGGCCAGCCACACCAGTGTGTGCAGCGGCAAACAACAGATCAGCAAGGCCTGGCATGCTCAGTTGTCTTCCGGTCTCCTACGTGTAGCATGGCTGGTGCATACTTCACACACTAAAATAATTATAAAGATGTCATCAAGAGTGTGCCTTTAATCTCAGCAGTCGGGAGGCAGAGGCAGGCGGATCTCTGTGAGTTCTAGGCCAGCCTGGTCTAAAGAGAGTTCCAGGGCAATCCCCAAAGCAATACAGAGAAACCCTGTCTCGAAAAACAAACAAACAAACAAACAAACAAACAAACAAAAAAGACCCAGGACTGGGGAGTTGGCTGCTGTGGGAGCATGAGGTCCTGAATTTGGATCACTAACACTCATGCAAAAGCCAGGTATGTGGGGAAGCTATAGGGAGGTAGAGGTGGGCAGAGCTTTGTGAGCTGCAGGCCAGCCTGGGCTACATTGGCCTGTCTCAAAATAACATTTAATAATAATAAAACAACTGCTGTTTTATTGAGACAGGGTCGTCCCTGGGCAGCCCAAGCTGGCTATGAATTTGTTATATACTCCACATTGGCCTGAAGCTGGAAATCCTCCTGCCTCAGCCTCTGGAATTTGGAACCACACCACATTGCGCAGTCATCTTCATTTTCAAAATCTCATGGGGGTAGGAGTAGGGGTGTTGTGTTAATTAGCATGTCTGACAATCCGCTTTTAATTTTCTACTTTTGTTGTTGTTGTGAGACAGGGTTTCTCCGTGTAGCCCTGACTGTCCTGGAATTCCCTCTGCAGACCAGGCTGGCCTCGAACTCAGAAATGTGCCTGCCTCTGCCTCCCTAAGGTGAAGTGACACCACCACCCTGCTATTTTTACATTTTATTCTTACGTATATTTGTGTTTTGCCTGCATGTATGCCTGGTGCCCGCAGAGGCCAGAAGTCATCAGATCCCTTGGAATTTGAACGCAGGTCCTCTGGAAGAGCAGCCAGTGCTCTTAACCTCTGAGCCTTCTCTTTTGCTCCTATTTCTCTTCTTTGGCACAGCTTTCTGTGCAGAATTTGAGCTTCGTGTTTCCTGCTCATAGCCTTTACACATTTTTCTACTGGATAAGCCCATTTTATGGACGCCCATTTTATGAATGGGTAAATAGATACCTGGAAAGGCCATTACTAGCCCTGGTCACAAGGCTTAGGACAATTGGGGTTCAGAACCAGTCCCCACCTGCTTCCAGGATATGTATGTCTGTCTGGGTGGGCCTCTTGGTCCCTTATAGCACTGAGAGAAAAGATCGCAGAGTCTCTGCCCCACTGTAGAGGGGACAGAGGAGACAAGTAGTAGGAAATGATGGTCTGGGGTTGGGCTCAGTGGGTTGGCTCTTGGGCTCCAGCTGAACACCCAGAAACCGGGCAAGGCTGAGCACATCTGTAATCGCAGCACTTAGGAGGTTGGAGGCAAGATGATCTGAAGTGTAAGGTCATCCTCAGTTTCCTAGTGAGTTTGAAGCTAGCCTGGGCTACGTGAGACTCATAGATAGGTAAGCAGATGGCTGGGTGGATGTGTAGGGGCTGGGAGCTGGAGGTAGGGCTCGGAGATAGATAGACACAGGCCATGAGTTTGATCCTCGGCACTGGGGACCAGGAATGCTGTTATTTTCAAGATGTTGCTTATAAGGCCCCAGGGGATATTTTTTCCGCCCAACAGGCACCTGCGGTCAGACGGGGGAAGGGACTTGGCCAGGGTTTCACAGGTCCTTAGTGATGTCCAAATAAATAGAAATAGTTATCCCACTCCCAGCCCCACTGAACATCTTTTTGGTGGTGTTTTTGCTTTTTCAAGACAAGGTTTCTCAGTGTAGCTCTGGCTGTCCTGGAACTCCCTCTGTAGACCAGGCTGGCCTCAAACTCATATCGACATGCCTCTGCCTCCGGAGTGCCCACTGACCTTTCTCTGTACTGGAGATGGCCTTGAACTCCTTGATCTTTGTGTCTCCCTCTCTGGGGTGGTGGGATCTGGGATTGAAGGTGTCTACCACTAAGTGTATGTTCTCCATCTCTCTCTCTGTATTTATGTGTTTGAATTGGGGTCTCACTCACTCTGAAGACAGGCTGGCCTCAGACAGGCAATGCCCCTGCTTCAGCCTTCCGAGGCATTACAGCTGGGTGCCCATTCCATGCCTGGCTGATGGCCATGTTCTTGATTCAGCCTTCCTCAACAACATGTCTGCTATACTCACCTCTTCCTTGGCCACAGGAAGTGGTCTTTGGGCAGAGGTGGGGGTGACTTAAAAGTTGATAAGGGACAGGGGAAGGGGGAGGGGACAGCAGGTCATGGTGGCGTGTGCCTGTTACTGCAGCACTCAGAAGCAGAGGCGGAATCATTTTGGATTTGAGACCGGGTCGGACTATGTGGTGAGTTGGGGCCAGCCTGGGCTACACAGGGAGACCCTGTCTCCATATTCCATCCCCTCAAAAGGAGCAGCTGTCTAGGGGAGTCAGGCTCTGGATACGGCCGGACAGGAAGAGCCTGTGTAGAGGCCTGAGGCGAGACTGCACCTGGCAGATTAAACAGCACTAAGGTTGGAACATGAGAGGTAAAGGCGTGGAGAGTAAAAGAGACGCTGGCCGTGTGGGGCCATAGATGCGCTTTAAGTATGGAAGGCACTGGAGGAACCTGTCAGATTTTGTTTTGTTTTGTTTTGTTTCATGGGGGAGTTGAAATGTAATTTGCACACCATAGAATCCCATATGAAGTACACACTTGAGGCCAAGTGTGATAGTGCCCATTCCAGTGCACGGGCGGGAGGGACAGGAGGCTCTCTCAGTTTGTGGCCAGCCTGGTCTACATAGTTCCAGGGTAGCCCCTTCACCAGCTCCCTACCCCCCCCCACACACACCTTTTCTTGTTCTGATCCTCTTAAGCTTGCTATGGGAGCTGGAGAGATGGCTCTGTGGTTAAGAGCTTTTGTTCTTGCAGGGGACTCGGGTTCAGTTCCCAGCCCCCACATGGCAGCTCACAACTGTCCACAACTTCAGTTCCAGGGGTTCTGACACCGTCTTGTGACCTCCATGGTCATCTTTGGGGGCAGGAGAGATGGCTCAGCAGTTATGAGCACTTTCTGTTCTTGCACAGGACCTGGGTTCAGTTCCCAGCTTCCACATGGTGGTTCACAACTACTCATGGGCACCAGCATGGTGCACATCCATGCATATAAAAGAAATCTTTAAGAAAACGAGAAGAGGGGCTGAAGAGATGGCTCACAGGTTAAGAGCACTGACTGCTCTTCCAGATGTCCTGAGTTCAAGTCCCAGCAACCACATGGTGGCTCATAACCATCTATAATGAGATCTAGTGACCTCTTGTGGTGGGCAGGGATACATGCCAGCAGAACACTGCATAATAAATAAACATTTAAAAAAGAAAAGAATTAAAAATTGCTATGTAGCTCAGGCTAGCCCCACGCTGAATGCTGGTATTGCAGGTATGTGTCATACATGGTTCCCTGCATGCCAGGAAGCATTCTACCAGCTAACACAATCCCCTCTCCCACCCCTTTCTAGGCAGAGTCTCACTGTCTAACACCAGCTAAGATGGAACTCACTTTGTAGTCCAGGCTGTCCTGGAATTTCCGGTCTTCTGGGCTCATCTTCCTCAATGCTGGGATTATTGGTACCCTGAGACTTGTGTTTAAGACAATGGCCTTGTGACTTCTCTACAAGGAGCAGGCTGACGGGGTCAGAGGCAAAAGGCCTGATGTGGAAGCCAAGAAGGGAGTGAAGCTGGAGGGAGTTGGTGGGAGGAAGCTGG